GGGGGCGGAGTCAGGACCTCACTAGCCAGTGAGAGTGCAGCCCTGGTGCGGGGGGCGGAGTCACGACCTCACTAGCCAGTGAGAGTGCAGCCCTGGGGTGGGGGCGGAGTCAGGACCTCACTAGCCAGTGAGAGTGCAGCCCTGGTGCGGGGGCGGAGTCAGGACCTGGCCAGCCATTGAGTGTGTACCACCCTGTGGGCAGGGGGCGGAGCCAAGACCCTGCCAACCAGTGAGAGTGCAGCCCTGGGGACGGGGGGGTGGAGTCAGGACCTCACTAGCCAGTGAGAGTGCAGTCCTGGGGGCGGGGGGCGGAGCCACGACCCTGCCAACCAGTGAGAGTACAGCCCTAGCATTGGGGGCGGAGTCAGGGCCCTGCCAGCCAATGAGTGCACCCTTCAGTAAGCGTGCGTACCCACCAGCCAGTAAGCATGCATCCTCACCCGTGGGCAGGGGGCGGAGTCAGGGCCCTCAGCCAGTGAGCGTGCACCTCCCGTGGGAGTCAAGATTAGGACCCCCCCTCCCCGCCCCGCCAATGCGAGCGCAGCTCGGAGCTGCGGCACCTTGCACGGAGAACACCATCAGCATTCACACAGCTCGTTTTAGAGACACACTCCCCCCTTCGGAGTGCTCCGTGGACCTGCGGGATGGAGCTCGGTTCCTCTCTTTTGAGACTCAGTTTCTCTCTTTTTTTCCTTGTTTGAGTCCTGGGGCTTGAACTCAGGGCCTGGGCGCTGTCCCCGGCCCTTCTGCCCAAGGCTAGCGCTCTTCCCATTGCGCCACAGCCCCGCTCTGGCTTTGTGGCGGCTCCTTAGAGATGAATCTCGGACTCCCCTGCCTCGGGACTGCCATCCTCTGTCCTGGGACCTCAGCCTCCTGAGAAGCTGGAATTACAGGTGGGAGCCACCAGAGCCTGGCTCTGCGCTCTGAGCTATAAAGACCACGTCTACCCTTTCCTATGGAGGCTTTCTCTGCGGCCTTTCCCCACTGAGATGTGGGCTGGGTGTTTTGAAAGCGTCTTTAAACACAAAACAACCACAACAAAATGTGCAGATGAGGGGTGAGGAGGAGAGGTTTGGGGGGCTCAGCTGGGCACTCACCGATCTCACAGTTCTCCCCCGCGAAGCCCTGCGCGCAGCTGCAGCCGTAGGTGGAGCTATTGGCGCTGCAGCTTCCCCCGTGCAGGCAAGGGTTGTTCTCACAGGGGTCCGTCGGGGCTGGGGGTGAATGAAGAGCGCAGGGCTCAGCTCATGGTTATGAGTTCTGTTGTTGTTGTTGTTGTTGCTCTCAGACCTGGGGTTTGAACTCAGGGCCTGGGCGCTGTCCCTCAGCTCTTCAGCTCAAGGTGAGTGCTCTACCACTTGAGCCACAGCACTACTTCCAGTTTTCTGTGGGCTCCTTGGAGATAAGAGTCTCACAGATTTTCCTACCAGGGCTGGGTTGGAACCGCCATCCACAGATCTCCGCCTCTTGAGTATCTGAGATGACAGGCGCAAGCCACCGACGCCCAGCTCCTCTGAATTTCAACTGCTTCATACATAAAATGGAGCTACAAGCATTTCACCACGCCCTGATGGCTGGCGCCTGCCCTCCAGCTACTCAGGAGGCGGAGATCTTAGGATGGCGGTTCGAACCCAGCTCAGGCCGGAAAATCTGTGAGATCCTCATCTCCAACGAGCCAGCCTGTCCCAGCCTGCGCTGCGTGCCCCGTGCATGGCACAGGGGCCTGTGTGGGGAGAGGCACGCATGGGTCTACTCCGGTGGTGGGGGAGAGGGAGGAGAAGGGGGAGGGGCGAGGAGGGACCACGTGAGCCCCGCCAGGTGCCCACGCTGCCGACACCTGCCCACGGACTGGCAGTGACTCAGTCGCTCCCCGGTGCCGGGTGTATTTCTGGCATCATTAGCATATCTGTTACGGGGGGGGGGGAAGCACTGCATCCCCTCCCCCAACCCCTCGGCCTCCCTCCCTCCCTCTCTCCTTCCCAGGACTGCCCCAGCTGACTCAGCCAAGAGCTCAAGGCCAGACACATCCCCCACAGCAGAGTCAGCTCCGACCTCCTCCCCCCACACCCCGCACCCCATCTCTCCCCCAGCACGGACCCCTCCACATTGTCTGCTCCCTGCTTCCGGATGCCCACACCGTCAGTGAGGCAGATGCCCTGTTTTCAGCCATCCCATGTTCTCAAGCCTCACTTTAACCTCCTTCCCTCGCTCCCTGGAGCATTCCATGCCTCAGTTTCCCTGTCTTACAATTCCAGGCTCTCACTAGAAGCTGTCCCATAAAGCCATGTTAAGCACTGGATTCTAGCTGAGTACTTTTTTTCATTCTTGTCAGTCATAGGGCTTGAACTCTGGGCCTGGGCACTGTCCCTGCGCTCTTCAGCTCAAGGTGAGTGCTCTACCACTTGAGCCACAGCGCCACTTCTGGTTTACTAGTGGTTCATTAGAGATCAGAGTCATGAACTTGAACCTTGATCGTCAGATCTCAGCCTCCTGAGTAGCTGGAATGACAAGTGTGAGCCATGGTTCCTGGCTAGCTAAGTACTTCAAGTTGAGCACAGGCAGTGAGTGCCAAGTACCCTGTGGGGCCTGGCTGCCCCCACCCAGCCATCCAGGGATGGGAGATAAAGGGGAGCAAGTTAGCACCTGTGCCAGACAGACAGCTGTGGCTCACAAGTGAAATCCTGTCTGTTGGGGAGGCTGAGCTCTGAGGACTGCGGTTCAAAGCCATCCTGGGGGGGAATGTCTGTGAGACTCTCATTTCCAATTAACCAGCAAAAAGCTCGAAGTGGAACTGGGGCTCAGGCAGTAGAACACCAGTCTACTGGATTCCCAGAGACCCCTGTCTGTCCTCTGGGCTCCCCACTGCCCACCACCCCGTCCACACTGGGCCTGCGGAATCAGATGGGGCCAGGACAGGGTGCTCACCTTCCTGTGCGTGGGACCCCTCTTCTGCCGGCTCCTCGCCGCTTGCTGCCTCCTCCCAGAAGCCCTCCAGGCCTGGACCCCCGGCCGCCAGCTCCAGCTCGGCCTCCGCGCCGGGGGACACAGGCAGCAGGGTGCTGGACGCGCCCCACGGGCCTGCAGACTCCCCGGAGGCCGCGGAGGCAGGCTCGTCCACGGTGGCCGTCCCGGGGGGAGGCGATGGAGGTCCCAGGGCCCCCCGGGTCAACCCCTGGGCCTCTGTCCCGGGGTGGGGCTGGACGCCGGTGGATGCTGGCGGGGGAGGATCTGGGACGCTGACCCCGGCCCCCAGGTCCGGCGATGTGGGGGGTGTCTCCGCGCTCGTATCCACGGGCCCCAGCCCCCCCAGCATGTGGGATCCAGGCTCCCATGTCCCCCCAAGTCCAATGGGGTTCGGCGTCACCAGAGACCCTAGGGGACCCCCAGGAGAGTGGCCATACAAAGCCCCCCAAGGGTGCAGGCTGGAGGGGACCCTGGTGCCCCCCGAGGGTGTGGACAGGGTGCTGGTGTCCAGCTGGGCTCCAAGCTTGAGCGCCTCACTGCCCTGCAGGCCGGAAGTGGGGTGCTCTGCTGTGGGTGGGACCCCGGCCTCCGCATCTGGGGTGTCCTCGGTGGAGATGAGATCCGCTGCGTTCCACGCCTCGGAAGGCCTCGGGCCGGCGCTGGGGTGCTCAGCTTGGCCGGGCTGAGGAGAGCCGGGGCCCCCAGCTTCGCCCAGACCGGGCGCGGGGGGATCCGTGCTCTGGTCTTCTGCTTGGTGGTGGCTGCCTGTTGTGGCTGAGGTGCCCCCTCCATGTTCTGCCAGGTCTGGGGGGGTGGCCGAGGCCGGGGTGGCGGGGGCGATGCTCGCAGCCTGGCCCTGGCCCTCCACCCCAGTGGCTTTGGCGGCCACGGAGGGGACAGCTGGAGATGAAGGCTGTGGCCACGCGTGGGGGGCCCGCAGCATGGCTGCTATGGGGAGATCCAGAGGACTGACTGCACCGGACGCCTCCCCCAGAGCTGTGCTGGGGTCCTCCGGGGAGCTGGACACCCAGGCCGTGGGCTCGGAGGACCACCAGGGCAGGCTGGGGGTGGCCGGCTCCGCCATGGGGGCCTCAGCTCCATCCAGGTTCAGGTCCGGGCTCTTGCTGGGGGTTGGAATGCTGGAGGGGGTGGAGCTCAAGGGCCAAGGCCTCTTCCCAGCAGGGGGACCTGCAACACCAAGATGATTATCCAGCCAGAGTAGTCACACACGTGTGTAATCCCGGCTACTAGAGGCACAGGGTCAGGGGCATTGAAGTTTAAGGTCAGTCTGGCTGGGCTCCGGTGTCTCACACCTGTCATCCCAGCTACTCAGGAGGCTGAGATCTGAGGATCACAGTTCAAAGCCAGCCGGGGCAGGAAAGGCCCTGAGACTCTCATCTCCAATAAAGGACCAGAAAACCGGAAGTGGTGCTGTGGCTCACATGATAGAGCGCCAGCCCTGAGATGAAGACCCGAGGGACAGCGCCCAGACCCAGAGTTCAGTACCCACGACTGACAAGAAAAAACAATGATTACCGGGAGTGGCTACACACACGTGTAATCCCAGCTACTAAAGAGACAGAGGTCAGGTCAGAAGGACTGAAGTTAAGGTCAGTCGTGAGACTTCATCTCCACCACTAGCCGGGCAGTGATGGTGTGCACCTGTAGTCCCAGCTACTTGGAAAGGGGACCCCAGTGGCGCCTCGGAGGCTGGGGGAGGCCAGGGTGGCAGCCGGGGCTCCCGCTCCGGGCCTCGCCCTCCCCGGGGGCCCCGGGCGCGGGGC